GAGCCTTACACCTCACCACCTAATGCTCTTCATGCCATTCATCACTGCACACGAGGCTTGCCTTTGCCCATTTTTGGTCCACAAACGGAAATATTTGACTCTGTTGCCCTTCCCCTGCCATACAGAGAGCTCTAGGCACCTGCCGCAACACTTCCTCCAGGAATGCTCAAGGCAAGACAGGACTCTTCTGGGACCATCAAGTATGACCACACACAAACTTCATCCCTGCCCATTCACCACACCAACTCTCAGCAGGACAGCATGGCCACAACACAGCCTCCATCTCACAGAATCTGACTAGAATTATGCCCCTCACCTGCACCTTCTCCAACAGCAGAACAGAACACAACAGACACATCTGGATTTCACACAGACAGCAAACAACAACTTACATCACTCTGAAGGTCGTACACTTTCTTGGCCTGAACAACATCGTTCTGGTCTGGCAGGCAGGTCCACCGATGAAGAAGATGCTTGTAATCAATGTCACTGACCAACTCCTGACATTTCTTGGCCAACACGATTCCCAGCATGTCCACTGGGGTACTGAAATTGGTCTTTGACTTCTCAAAGGCTTTCTTGTACTCCCTGTCACTCTGGATCTTGGCTACGTGCATCGACCACATCATCTTCGGATCATCCTCTATGTTACGGGCTCCGATATGGTGGCCAAGCTGCTTTCGGTACGCAGTTTTGTATTGATACTAATTGAATGCAGAAACAACAATTATCACCTCTTTTCAATTTGCAATTTAAATTTCTCTCTTTTTAATATAGTGGTTAAAATTTTTGTATGTAATATATTTCAAATTTTTTTGTGTATTTTTCTAGCATTTCTACTGCATGTCGAGAAGACAACTGATTTTTTTTTTTTGTGTATGTATACCGTCTCATTGTAAATTATTGTATTTAATTTAATTAACTTTACACCATTAAGAATTATATAACTCTAGGGAGAGCAGCAATATGACTGTTAAAATTTTAGACCTCTCCTCCTTTTTAGAATAAATATCTTTATACAAAAGTATGTACCAGCTCTATTCCCCACTACTATTTTCACTCTGTAAGACTTACTTCACTAGCTATGTCTCTGGATGCCTTTGCTGACTTGAGGGGTATAGCATCAGGAGGAAGATCGTAGCCTTTCCTCTTCAGCTCTTCATATCCTAACTTGTAATGTTTCTGTTGGAGAAGGATTCAAAGTAATTATTGCAAATAATGCTTGCTAGAGTGCTTTTCAATACTACAGCTTTCCTCCCTTCTTTAATGAAAATCAAGTATGAGATTCCAAACATAATTTCATTCATCAAGTTAAATTCCATAGCTTGCTTTTAATAATGCATATTTTGTAATTGATGAGATAAAATATTTTGAATTTCCTCTCTGTATGTTTATTATCTGAATAACTCACTGGAGATCAAAATTTTCTTTTACTGAATGTACTGATCTGAATGATTCGGTGTCTTCTACAGAGGTGAACAATCCAACCCCATGATTCTCTAGACGCAATTTCAATTGCAATTATCTTTGTCTTCTTGAGTTCTTATGACAGAGCTGCTAAGGTTTCTTTACCTTTGCATGTAGTCTACATTTGTTTCATTATAACCAAGAATCTGAGGTAAATTACATAATCCTATGTAATTCTAAAGAGGCAGTTCAATATAATCAGACGTTTTAACAACAATGAAAGGCTTACTAAAAGGTACTGAACACATATCTACAATGTCAATATGATCAGTAGGGATGGAAGAGAAAAATGCTAACTTGTGTTGAATATTTTCTTGGTATTTTTGATATTCCAGCAACTTTGCTTCAACTTTATATTTTAGCAATTCCACTTGGGCTTCCCAGGGCACAGCAATTTTCACAGTAAAAGAACACAGGTGTGCTTACAGCTGTTAGAATTGCAGAATTACTGTACTGCATTTTAAAATAAAGCCACAGTGGATAATTCCAAATTCCATTTAAAACACTGTAGAGACACACTTACATCACTTGTGTTAATTAAGTTTGATTTAGCCAGCAAAATTTCAGGAGTATCAGGCATCATGTGAACCTGAGTCTTGTCCTTGTCCCAAGCTTCTCTATACAGTATCTGAAAAGAGACACAAACAAAAATACCTTGTCTGATAAAAGGGTGCACAACAGTAAATGCAGTCTACCTTTTCTCTACAATAGTGAAACAAAGATGTACTAGGCAAGTATGAGTGATATAAACAATGCAAGATTTTAAAATTAAATAACACAATGACTTCTTACTGAAATACCATCTTCTCTTCTTTACATCCACGAAATGTCAGGGAAACAGCATTATGACAATACATTTACATACTGCATAGTAAGTGTCTTATTTGCAGTTATTACTGAATAAGTTATACAGCAGTAACGGCCTTAATCTTCTGAGCAAGGTATAGTACTTCTCGACAACTGAATAGTAAGGCCCTGATTGTAAACATCTGATATTTGTATATTTTAAGCATATGTTCTGATATGGAGATCTTTTCAACAAAAATGTATACCAATATATTCACTTATTGAATCACATGTTCTGTCCCTAGGAGCAACTTACATCACTTCTATTTTTGGCATTAGATTTTGCTAAAACAAGATTCATGGCATCTGGGATACTTGTGAACTTGATAGTATCTGGGTGCTGCCGGTACTTCTTTTCACTCAGGATTTCAGCAGCTTTCTTGTTCTTTTCAGATTCCAAAGATCCCAAAGGGCTCCATCCAAGGCCTCTGAGCCATTGTAGGTCTGACTTGTACAGATTCTGTTAAGGAAGAAAATTAAAACCATACTAGATTATTTTCTTTATCATTTATTAAACCATATTAAAAGACTAACTGGTATTTTAGCTTGAATCTGTACTGACATCAAAAGAGAATTATTAAGGATACTTTTCAATAAGCAGTAAATATCTTAAACAAATAAATTAATTAAATCAGAGGAAGCTTACATCACTCTGCAGTTCGTAGACCCTCTTTGCCTGGGTGACATCATTCTGGTCTGGCAGACAAGTCCAGCGGTGTAGCATGTGTTTGTAGTCTATATCACTAACCAACTCCTGACATTTCTTAGCGAGAAGGAAGCCTAACATATCCACAGGCATATTAAACTTTGTCTTCCACTTTTCAAAATCTTTCTTGTATTCCCTGTCACTCTGCATCTTGGCTACTTGCATAGACCACAACATCTTTGGATCATCCTGTAAGCTGCGGAATCCAATGTGATGTCCCTGCTGCTTGCGGTAACCTTCTTTGTACTTGTACTAAAATTAGAAAGATTGCATTACTGACATTATAGTAAGAATCAGACAACGGTAAAATACATAAGCAAAATATCAATATATTCACGCAGTTCAATGTTTCTCATTACTAACAAAATGACCAGTTTTTTGTGGCATCTCATGTAAAGGTTTAGTAGCCCCTTGATTTGTGTGCATCACTTGGTGTCAGTGAGTGCTCTCCCGGGAATGAACAGAGTCCCTGGAGAGGAAGAGTGCATGGCTACACGAACGGTCCCCTGTGCCATCTGATTCATATAGTCATACTGTTCAGAACTCCCAAAGGCTGACACACTGAAATATTTTGATGAATAAAATAATCATCAATGAAAAATGCAGATGCTTAAGCATTGGAAACATTTCCTAGTGATTAATAATAAAATGTTTTCCACAAATGCAGGAATTGTATTCATACCAAGTTATGGTAACAGCAATACATGTGTCAGCATGTCTATTGCTGTCTCAGTATAGGCACTGTGATCAGCTAAGAAAATGTAACATCCGAAAGAGCAGACAACTCCTAACTCTGTATGACTAGCCACTTCTGGATGGACCACAGTCTTTGGATTTGCCAAGATTCCAGAGCAACCCTTCTTAAATTGTTTTCTTCACTGGCAAGAACACGTCAGGGAAGAGTTTTGTCAGCAATTTTGCTCTTTACTTCACGCCACACCTTAGCAGAGAGGTGTATCTTGATCTACTGCAACTCTGTAGGTTTAGGCAACTAGATAACATGTATATCATATAGAATTACAAATGTTGCTTACGTCACTTGCAATGTCCCTTGAAGCTTTGGCAGCTTTCACTGGTATGGCTTCAGGTGTGAGGTCATAGCCTTTCTTTATCATTTCCTCCCAGCCAAGCTTGTATAGTTTCTAAAATTCAAAACAATATTAATTAACAAGTCTTAGTAATACATGTGTCACCTTCTATTTCAATATGCTAATGATTTGTATTACCAAATTCTGGTCACCTCACAGGCTTCAGTTATGAGAAAAGGGCTACTAGAATGGGAGCAGAGAAATAGGAAACTGAGAAGCAAAGAACACAGGTTTTCTAAGTCTTAGTGGAAGTCTAGTGACTAGTTTTTCTTTACTGCAGCAGCTTCCTCCTATAGCTTATCTTGGGGATTTGAAACATATACATCTGGGATAACTGAAAACTTTTCAATTGGCTTAACAAAATTTTAATTAATAAGGCTGTAATGTAGCCATTTAATAGCCAAATCAGTTTGTGCACCGTTGATTTTAAGTAGCCAGCACTCGCAAGTCAAAGATTTGCCTCTAAGCAATTGTGCAAAGCAAGTATTTTATACCAGCACAACTGCCACTTTCTCATACTTAAAAGCTGACAGAAAAGTTAGATTCAACACACGTATTTCTTTTCCCATATGTTAAAAGTATACATACAATACACAACTTGTAATTTTATAGTAAGGAATTTTTAATAAGACTAATTTCTATGGTAAGCATAGAGTATGGACTATGCACATCCGCATTACAAAAACAGGACTTATATTTTCTTTACATTATAATGTAACTTAGGCTGTTGCTTTGCTAGCCTGAAGATGGTACTTATCGCTACTCTGAATATATCACTCACATAAAAATTCTCACCTCTGTTATAAATCCCTCATTCAATTTCTTCTAACTTACATAAATTTATTACTTATTTTGAAAGGGGAGGCACTTTTAAATTTGAAGAAAGTAGATATTAATTGAAAATGTAATAGGAAGCATTAAAAAACTCTACCTGACTGTAGTTTGTCTTGTTCTGTTTTGCCTGGAGAATATCTGGTGTATCTGGCATCACATGAACCTGGATTTTATCCTTCTCCCAAGCTTGAGTATAAGCACGCTATTGAAAAAGCAACATCAGATGTGTTAATATAAATGACAAAGGATGGCTCTTTCAGGGTTTTCACTTTCCATCTGTATCACTTTGTATATGGACGGGTAAAAAAGATGAAAGTGCTGACTTTGATTGATTTTACTATCTAATGACCTAATCCAGAATGAGCTGAGTTAGGATTCATTCTTGCTTCTAATGAAGTGTGACTATCAAGATTTTCAGGGCCAGTAATTTCTACACAATAATGAGAAGAATAGAGATTGGAGAGGCAGCAATCAGAAAAATGAGAGAAGACTTATTTAACCAATGCTATCAGTAACTGAGTGTTTCATTAAGAAAAAAAAAAGGAACCTGTAAGTGACAGTTGTTTTCCCAGGGAAACACTGCTGCATAAAGATGGTGACAGAGTCTTTAAGACTGTTTATTGAAAAGGATTATATGTGAACGTTTGCCTAATTTTCCCCATAAATACTCACTTTGTTCATTATATTAGCATTCTGCTTTGCAAGGACCATGTCCATGGCATCGTTCGGTCTTGTAAAGGGGAACATGCTGGGATGCTGGCGGTAATTCCGATCACTTGCAATTTCTGTGGCTTTCTTAGATTTCTCCACATCCAGAGAACCAGCAGGACTCCAACCGATACCCTTGAAACACTCATTGTAATCCTGCTTATACTCATTCTGCCAAACAGAACATAAAGGGAAGGTTTACAATTTACAAATAATTCTGTTGATTCCAAAACACAACCACAGTGAAAAAAAAACAGCAAAAAAAAAAAAAAAAAAAGTCACAGCTGTGAACGACAGAAAGAAAACAGAAACTTACATCACTTTGTATCTGATTCATGTTTCGGTACAGTTCTAAACTCATTGCATCTGGTAGAAGCATGTACTGGTGAATCAGCCGTTTGTAGTTAGTATTGGTCACACGATCTTGTGCCTCCTTAGCTGCCACGATGCTGAGTGCATCAGAAGGTGTTTGGTAATGTGTCTTGCCCGCCTCATAAGCTTTCTTGTATTCACGATCAGACTGCATCTTAGCCACTTGCACGTAATGGACAAGTTTGGGATCATCCTGAAGGCTGCGGAAGCCTACAAGTTTTCCCTTGTCTTGTTCATAACCTAATTTGTATTTATACTGTAAAGGGAACAGAGACAGACACTTCAGTTCTATTTAATCTGTTTAATAAGCAGTATCTATCTATTAAGGAAAAAAACCCCAAAATTTAGATTAAAATAAGATTTTTACACTGTTAAGAAAACATCACAAAGCATATAGAGGTGGTGGTTTTGTCCACCCACTCAGAGGTTGCACTCTAAAGCAAAACAGATGCCTAGCGCCCCTTTTAAAAGCAGTACATTGGAAATGCTTTTTTAATAAATGAAATTTTCTTACAAGAGTTTATGCTGCTCCTGCTATAAGGTTCAATGTAACCTGGGGTTCAATTGTTTTCTAATCTCATTATAAATGACACAATGAAAATATGAAACATACTGACAGAAAGCAAAAGGCAAAGGAACACACAAGATCTGGTTTGCTGAAGACTGTTCTTTGGAAAAAGTGCACTTTTTACTCTTTTCACACTATAGTATAGAGATATCCATATTAGCTCTAAGATGAGCTATCACAAACACTAGAACACCCCCTACATTGTAAAAAAAAAAAAAAACAAACAAAAAAAACAAAAACAAAAAGAAAGAAGAGGGGCTAAATGACTTGTCCTTAGGCCCTAACTTCACCCCTCTCTAGGGCTGGATTTGCCCCTGTTGCAGCAAATCCCTCATCACTGATACACAAAGGATTTCAGAATGGTCCTGATTCCAGAAGCTTGTACTCTCTGCACCATAAATTTAATAGCAGTTTCACCAAAGGAATGAAGATAACTGTACCACAGTAGTAAAAATAATTTAAGTCTGTATCTGTTCTTTTCAAATATTTCTAAGAATGATCTCTGAACATTCTGCCTAAATTACAAATGTACAACACACATTTATAAAGAATCCAAGCTCTGAGGAATGAACTGCCTTATTTTTTTTCTAAGATCCCCCATATATCTCCTTATCTTTCTAATAAAGAAACTTTTCTCTAAGCTTGTTAGAAAATGTATACATCAAATATGTCAGAATTATTTACAAGCAAGAGACTCTATATAATTGGCTTTTAAAATGTAATTGTGTTATGAAATGCATGTTTTACAATATCTGAAATGGAACATTTTTTCTTTCAAGAACTTACATCACTAGCAATATCCCTAGAAGCTTTGGCAGCTTTAATAGGGATAGCATCAGCTCTGAGATCATACCCCTTCTTCCTAGATTCTTCAAATGAAAGCCTGTACATTTTCTGCGAAAATAAAGAGAAACATCCTTTAAGAAAGCAAAACACATCATGCTTACTTAAATAAAACTATTCATTTAACATGATAATTTGAAACAGATTATTCACATCTTTTACACTCCTTGAAAGTTGTTTAAGGTGCTCAGGCACACAGACATGAATACTCCTTCAAAATTAACTCCAGCCCTAGTGTTCATACAGCAATGCAGCTGGACTGCACTATAATCAGTAACAATAATCTGCAATAAAGAGCAAGAAATTACATCTGTTTCCCACATGCACAAATATTGGTGAAGAGTTACATCTATAAGGATGTTAGCTTTTAAAAAAATGAGATAAATATGTCTATTTTTGTGCACATTAAAGATGTGCACAATTACAAATGACACCTTATGTAGCATATGCAGATTTAACAACTGGCTACTGAAAAACTGTCTATAATATCAACTGTTACTGAAAGAATAGGTTCAATTTGCAAGAAAGAATTTCAAATCCAGTACAAAACTTTATGCATGGGGAAACAAAATAATAAATACAGTAACAAACATGGAGAGTACTCAAACTCTACTATTTTGTTAGTAACTATTCTATTTTAATGACCTACATGAACACTTCACAACCTAACTACAAATTCTATCGATTTTTCTTGACAACTTTTGGTATTTAATTTTGGGGAAGGAAGCGGGGAAAAAGGAAAATTAAGAGCTTTTTGTGAAATTACTACAGGTCAGCAAAGTGAGAATTAGGGAGACCTTTGTATGCTGCCATCTCACTTATTCCTAATATAAAAAATAAGAGCAATGTCAAAATCTTACAAGCAGTACTCACATCACTTAAATTAAATGCATTAACTTTTGCTTGAATAAACTGTGGAACATCTGGTGTCATGTGAACTTTCTTTTTGTCTTCCTCCCATGCTTGTTTGTACTTGTGCTGGAAGGATTAAAAAAAAAAAAAAAGAAGTCAACATAACAAAAAATTTAAATAAAACAATTTAAAAGAATATTTCCTATTTAGAATATAAACTTTCTTTACAATGATGCAACTACTAACATGGTAGGAGCATTTGTATTTTTATTTTAGCACATAAAATCAACATGAATTGGGAATAGCTTTTATGAAGTTAATTGTGTGAGGCCGAAATAGAAGTGGAAGAAATACCAATCTCACTAGAGTATTGTAGTGCTTGCCTCTTGCCCAGCAGTGTACACAAGCACATTCAACAGCAGAAAAAAATAGGTTTCAAAAGTACTGAGTCGGTCTGGGGTGGAGTTAATCCTCTTGGTAGCAGCTCAAACAGTGCCGCGTTTCAGAGTTGTGACTGAAACAACGCTGATAACACAGTAACGTTCTAGCTGCTGCTGAACAGTGTTTACACAGTATCGGGGTCTTTTTTTCTCTCTGCCCTCGCAGTGAATAGACTGAGGGGTGTGCAAGAGGTTGGGAGGGACATAACCAGGCAGATGAACTCAACTAACCAAAGATACACTCTATGCCAAATAACATCATGCTCAGGAAATAAAAAAAAGGGAGGAGGGAGCTTAGACATATTTTGCTCAGGAACTGGATTGGCATCAGTCTACCTGTGGGAGGTGGTGAGTGATTGCTTTTGCATCACTTGTTTTGTTTTCTTTCTCTCTTCTTCCACTTCTCCTTGCTTATTTAACATTTTTATCTTGACCCACAAGTTTTCTTGCTTTTACTTTGCCCTTCCTCTTCCCCTACCCCACCAGGAGGGAGAGGGGAAAGTGAGTGAGTGGCTGTGTGGTGCTTAGCCACCTGCCACCTGCCAGGGTTAACCCACAACTAAAAGCCAAGCCAGAAGGTATTTAAAAAAAAAAAACTGTTAGAGGTGGGAGTTTATTAGTTTATCACCTGTAAAATAAGTATCAGTTGAGAGAGGCAATAGAGCTTTTCTTAGAGGAAAGAGAGCTAAGGAAAGTGCACATAAGATTCTGGAGGTTCCTGTAACTACAATGCACTTGAAGTCCAGACACTTCTAAAAGACACCAGTGGATTACATCAGTTCAGC